TTTTATTATTGTTAACCATGTTGGTTGTAAAGCGGTTGTAAAGAAACTACGAAATGATTTCATCTCGCGAAATTTGTCTTCTTAATGCCTTATTCAAATTTATCAAAGGGATTAATTGTTTTACTTTTCACAAATATTTTAATTGCATTTCATACCGTTATTATTATTTCATGTATTCACAACTTTGATGGAATTCGCCGACCGGATATAATTTCTTAAAAACCATATATATACGATTGTACAACTTGGTAATAAACTCGTTGAAAAGAGTCTCTTTGCTGAATATTGTGTTCTTTCTTCAATTCATTTGTTTCCCTAACCATTTCGGGATATGCTCTCCCACCCTCACATGCAAAGCACGATTACTTCTCCCTATGTATGTGTGTGGACACACATACATAGGGAGGATTCATCGATCTCTGCAAGTAAACGTTAGCTTCAGAGCATATCCATGCTGAAAATTCCACACTTGTACTGAAAATACGGTGTGGAAATCAAGCTGTAAATCAAAATAAAATAAAATAATATTCCTAAATGGCTCCAGAAGCAAATAGAATCTTCAGAACCTATGAATGATAAGAACAGGAGACTTAGCTCCTCTATTGCGAGACATATTATTGGGACAGGACATAAAATTAACGTTTACACATCTTCTAAACCTATCTATGAAAAGTGTTTGGGACGTATCCTTAAGTTAGTGGAAGCCCTAGCTGGTAATTAGAAAGTTTAAACCGCCTTTATGAGTTCAAAAACAATCCATCATCACACTAAACCTACCTTGGTAAACGTTGTTTTGATACCATAGCAGATATACTATTACCTCTGTTATTTGGTTTAGTGATTTTCATTGTTATTTTGACTTTCGATATTTCCTCTTAGCTTGACCTCTATTTATTTTTCTCACCTCTTAACTCTTTATTGTTTTTATATATATTCCTATGACAAGTCCATGTGTAATCAGATAGTTCGAAATGTATACAGCAAATACATCACATTTGTCAGATAATCTCCGTCTTCTAAAAATACTATCCAAATTTATAAAAAGGGACTAATTGTTACAACGAAAACTATACAAACGAAATTTTCGAAATTGTGTAGTTATAACTGATATGATTACGAACAATAATGAATTGTGTTCGAAACTTTGTCATTCAGTTAACAATAATATAGTTTCTTCACTGTGTGATATATATATAATAAACCAATTAATGTGGAAGTGTAGGAGTACAATTTATGACACAATGACGTAACTCAGAAACAATTATCTCATTTATTGCAATACGCTGCCTGCCACCCACAATAATGCTCTTTCTCAACTTTATTAGAAACTTTCGAATCTGCAAGTTGTAAACATCCAAAATACTCGCGAGCGTTAACAATACCTTCACGGGACATGTTGTAATAGATTAAAGCAGTTTGAACGAGAGAAAGTATATGTAATATAATGATGGAGGTGTTTTAATAGGACCTTATTATTTATCCTTTACTTTTAGTTGATTCGTATTCTAAATGCTTCACATGGCTATTGTGTAATGAGAGACTGTTGATAACAATGTGTCGATTTGCTATTGCGATTTCGTTTGAAGGAATTCAAGGTTACGCCGTGGATTAACTGCTTAACTTTGAACAATCTAAAGAGCCGTCTTATTCTGTCTGATTCTTGCAGACAGAATTTTCATTCCATCTTATTGATTGTTTGATATTTTAACGGTTACATTCGGTTACTTGATTTTGCCACATAATTTGCATTTTCTACCTGAAAAACATTTAGACTGTATAGCAGCCAGACGGCATTGTTGAGATAGTTTTGTATTCTTTGCAAGTTATTTTTTGGAACACTACAACAGATACTATCACCTTTAATATTCTTTTGATATTATTGGAATATAATTTTTGATCGTGTGCTACTTTTGGAAGTTTGTCTAGCTATAGAGAAGGTATCGACAGTTATCCTGTGTGCAGGCCAATATCCTTGAGATATTAATGATGTTAAAATCCATTAGGCGATATCTCCAAGCTTTTGAATCCTATCGTGTAGTGCAACCAACCAATTATTTGCTTCCTTTTCGCCATTTTTGGTAGCTATCAGGACACAAGTAAGGCTTTTGTTTATAGCTACACGTTTTGTTTCTTAATTAACGGCTAACGCCGGATGCATTTAGCGCAATAATTAAACAAAATGTATCCCCTCCCAAAAAATTATCCTCTAGAGAATTTGCTAAACAAAAAGTTGATCAGACACACAAAACCTGTCAATCTTTTCAAATATACAGCCATTTAATCTGTACTACTTGAAGAAATTAAAATCCATGTGAATCTCTTTAAAATGACAAAGTACGTACCTATGTTTTTCATCTTTTATTCAACAAAAAATACAACAGGTGTTCACTCATCGTAGATATGTTACAGGAAATTATTTTTAATTAGTGCATCTCATAAGCAATAAATAAAGAAAATGGTAAGTTTCAAAAGTATGCTTGGATTGTGAACTAAGTAGAATGTGTTAAACAACCAGCCTTAGTGCAGTGCTCATTTTCTTTTACTTGAAATTATAATTGGATTTCATTAAAAAAGACTATTTCGTCTCGTGCATGAAACCGATAGTTATCATTTTCAAATTCACGGTATTTTTAAGTATTACTTATCAGGAAACTTTTGATGCTCAATTTCAATGAATTATGCAGGCAAGCGACACTTCCTCGCAAAACAGAATAACCCCTCTGCCAATGAAACTTAAAAGCTCCAAAGCGTGAAATCCTATATTTCCCTCGAAAAGCGAAGAAATAAAGTATTAAGGGAATGAAATGTTTCTCTTCAGCTTTAAAACATGCGGTAACCTTTTAAACTTTAGCATTTCGAACAGCGATTTCAAAGTGATGTAATTCGAACGTCGTGAGTGATTGCATTTTTGATAAACAAGTGATTAAGTGTTGACCCCAGTCCTGTGGGGTGCGTTCTTCTCGCGACCCGAAAAATTAACTTCGGGAAAGTCTCAATACAAAATAAAACGACTATTCAGTGTTCCAGGGTTTTTAATATCTCCTTAGCTCATTTTGGTTGTCGCTGAAAATGTAATATTTCTAGTGTTGGTTTGTAGAGATTTGATTGGTTACAGGATTTCATCATGAGGTGATATTGGTTAGAGAACCAGTGGAAAACTTGGGAGTACTGGACAGCTGTTTCGTCTTAGTTTGGGACTATTCAGCAGTACGCATCCACCGGGGTTTGAACCCAGAACCTTCTGGTTACAATGCGAGCTCGTGAATATGCATATATGCATAAGCGTCTTAATGATAATATAACAATAAAATTTAGTTTACGAGTGCTCATGAATTTCTGATTTAACCATCAGTTGCAATACCATATCATCAGTGTCCACTGTAAAAGATCAGAATAAGCTTATTCTAAAGAAATTCTCAAGTTTTTATCGTTTAAAGAAAGCACCATTAGACTTACAGTCAGTAATTATTGTGTTTTTTTCATGTAGAACTAGTGCATTACACATGTTGAAATCTGTAATAATGTCTTCCTATCAGGATACTCATTACACATATGATGAAAGACATCGTGTGCTTCGTGCGTCGGTGGCACAGCCACTAGGACGCTCTCCGATCCGGGGTTCGATCCTCGGCCTACTCACACCTGATATCAGTGGTCAGCCTGCTAAATTTGACTAACCGATATCATATGCTGAAAATTCTACAGTTGTCCCAAAATTACTGTGTGGAATGTAGCTATAATAAAATTAAATAAATTAAAATTATTATTACCTTTATTCACTGTAAATCACCATATATTAGGCCAATGAAAGCTTCTAAACATCACCAACAGGTGAGCCTACTTTCTATTTAACTGCATACAACCAGTTAAATGCGTGACAAGCTATTTAATCCTCTAACTTGATATATTTATATAGACCTTATCTCCTTCAAAACTCACGGTGTTTAATTTTCAGTAACAGATATCTAAGAGTTCTAGTTTTAAATTCATTCAACTGCTCTGTCATTCCCAGATTACAAATCTTGTTAAATCAAGCATAAAAAAGTATCTTCTGATCCTAACCACTGATCAGTTGATCAACTAATTTGAACGATAAGGTCTACCTTTTCATAACTTGTATAATAATTACGACCAAACTACAATTTCTGCAAGTCTTAGAAGTGACAGTAATTAGAAGCAAACACCTTGAACTCAACTCATTGGATGAAATCACTCAAAAAACAATTGGAAATTATGGAGTACAGGGTTAATGTTTCATAGCCTTTATTAGTGCATATTCTAACCCACAATTTTATTTTTTATTTTTTGATTACAGCTTGATTCCACACCGTAATTTTGGTACAGGTATGGAATTTTCAGCATATGATATCGGTAGCCCAAATTTTGCAGGCCGACCATAGATATCAGGTGTGCGTCGGCAGGGGATAGAACCCCGGACCATGTGCATGGTCGGCGACAGTCCTAACCACTGTGCCACCGACGCACAGATATCAGATATCAAATGCAAAAAACTTTAGTTTAAACAGCAAAAGCTTTACTGTTCCAACACTACAGAAATCCAAAGACTAATCAATATTATTTTACAGTTTCTGCAAACAAAATATCCTCAGTAATCAATCTGTACATTTCACTTTTATCAGTCACATATTTATTTATTTTTTAATTACCTAAAATATACCGGCAACTTTAGTCTAGGTTATCCTCAAATTGAATATTCCCTGTTCAGTCAACTATGCCGCACTTCTTTTCCAAATAGATTTCCCAGAGTGTATAATCTTTTTACAATAGGAAACATGTAATTTTTTTCTCTTCTGGAATGTTTTCAATCTAGACAAAAGAAAATTTTGTTATTGTAATGATATCAGTGAAAGATTCATATATGTTTCTTCATTGGCCAATGAAATATCAGTATTCAGCAAAAGGGTAATAAATTAACCAATTAGAATTCTGAGAGATTATTTTATATATATTCAAATACTGATGGGTTTGAATAAAATAAATTAAGAAATAAATAAACATGGTAGAAATATTAACACATCACACAGTCTAAACTAATCATAGTACTATTTACACCTAAGGATGCATTGATTACACGTACATTGGGAATAAATGATTTACACTGCTTCACATTCAAAAGGAATGATGATATAATGTATTGGATATTAATTATTTAAATTACTTTATGATATTTCAGTTGTGTACGAATGCAGTTCAAGAAAATGAGTATACGTCTCTAACAAAAAGAATCATAACTTTTAAGAATGATGGATTTAAACAAATTTATTCTGATTTTACTTGTATCATTTTGCAGTTTCAGCTTCAGTGTTCAATGTAATTTGTATTCTGCCCGTTCGCGACGGGTTTTACCAGCTGATTCATATACAATATTAGGACAAGCTGGTTTTCGACGCTTAGGTCAGTGTAATATCACTTACGCGTGGTTGATGTCTCCACCAACATCTAGTTTAGATGCTTACGGACATGCTTCAGCGTGTACAAGACTACAACTGTTAGACGGTCAAATAATACCCACTTCTTCTTATGACTATCCCGACGATTATTCTACTAAGAGTGATAAAGAAGTGAACCAGGCTGAAAAAGAATTGAAGCATATCAATAAAGAATGGTCAGCGTCTTTAGTTGACTTAGAACGTCTTGATGTATTGATACGTGCAGAGGTTATCGGTATTGGTCAACCGAAACAATTGGCTAGTGATGCACGTTATTTTTTTCTTGCTGATCGTGTCGGTGATTTAAATTTAATGGCCGTTCTACGTCCAGATAAACAATTAAAGCTTGAATTAATCAACCCATTGGCTTCGGAACACTTAGTTTTAACGCCACAACATGTACTTTGTCTACGTAAACAGTGCCCTGTAAATACCCATGAAACGAATTCGAGTATACCAAAGCAAGAAAACACTAGCACAATTTCTGGGACAGCAGCGACTGCAGCTGCATTGACTAAAGCGGAACGTCAGAATCGTGAGCTTTATATGCAATTGGTTATCTCACGTGTTGTATGCGCTTTAATAAGCTTCATGTGTGTTGTATTTGCTTTAACATCACTAACTCTTTGCATTCGACTTAGAAGAAGTCCTCATTATTGTAAAAAGCGAATGGTACGATCATCTCAAGCAAGTATTTGTAAGGAGCCACACCCATCACCATCATTCTGTCAAATGAATGGCAAAGTAAGTATGGGACAGGTATCACCATTGTTCATTACTGATCAATCGCCTAGGCATTTTGGAATGACTCATCTGCAGAGTGAAACAGCCAGTATGAATAATATTGTAATGACAGGGAGTAACATGAGTGCATGTGAAGGGCAAACTGGTCTACAAAATATTCCAATTTCATATTCAGCTCTAGGTCCACAATATGCACAAATATCAGGTTACCCAATATCTGGTGGACCTATAGCGTCATATAATGATACATCTGGATTGATTACAATTTATCCAGTACCATCGCGAGGCTCTATCAGCTCAACACATCATGGATTATTATTACAATGTCAAAACGGTTCTACTAGTCCAGCGCCATCCACTCATTCTGAAGATAAAAATGGCATGTCACGTACAGGCTCCTTAGGAAGATACTCACGTAACAGCGTCTGTTATGGTGATGCGACACGTAGAAAAATTATGTATCAAATGAGAAAATCACATCAGAATCCGATGCATTCAGTTCGACAACAGAATGATGTTTCTACTCCCCTTCCGAATAATCGACCACTTCCTATGTCTCAGCAACAAATCCAATCATTAAAACTTGATAATAATAATTCTACTAAACCAGAGGATTTAATCACTTTCCAACAGACACCTAATTTCACAACAGCAGTACATCGCTTTCCTTCTGAAGTACAATTTAATGGAGTGAAAAATATACCATCAATTGATATTGAAGAAGACAATTCAGATGTATTAAAGTCCAGTGCTTTCAATCATGTCGGTGAATCATGTGTTGGTGTAATACGTAAACCTGCTCACGTAAATTGAGTCTAATTGACACACTGTCACACACACAAATATACATAAACATTTATGGAGCATCGTCACTTAGTAAAGCAACTAAGTCTAAGTGCCTTTACTTATTTACTAGTGTGAAATTACTCACAAGTTTCCAATTTTTACATAAAGCACTCTTTAAATTCTTTAGTCAAACAATGAGAATGAATCTGAATTCAGCTGAACCACCGAACAATTACATATGTGGTTTTTCAACCAAAATGAAGCCTCAAGGTTTATTGTATACATAATGTTTTCATACTAGTAAATGATTTAAACGTGGATATATCTGTTAATGTAAGACGACATAGTCAGCTGCATAAAACAGTTATAAATGTATCCATGCTTGTATAATTCTGAGTACATTGACAAAGTCATTAATTCACTTATTTCAGTTGCTGTCAGCTTGAACAAAATCCAGACCGGTTTTAAGTGAGTTAACTGATGTTAATAATCTTTAAAAATTGCATTTCTCCCTCTCTCTCTCTCCCTTCTTTTCTGTTTTGTTTTATTACGCAAATGTTTTTATAATGCGCTAAACTATTCTCATGCTGCTATTATTATTATCCTCTTTGTAATTTGAAGATTTCTTTCGATCAGTCTAATGATCACATTTCAAAATACTAATGAACATGATTTTCTTTATCAGAGAGAGGGGAAGAGAGATATTTCATTATCATCTTCGCATTTTCACTTCCTTTGATCTTCTCTTCTTGTTGTAAACACGTATCACTTGTCATGATGTAATAAAGATTTTAACCATTATTGTTTACTAGTAAGACAAAGAATATTTAAAGACTGAAGGACTACTTGAAGAGAGAGCTGAGGCAGTGGATAGCTATCAAGATAGTGATCAATGCATAAGGGGTTGTTCGTCGAATGAAGTGGTGAACCGCCTAATATTCCTTTGTAATTTACAGGATGTCAATAGAAGACAGTTAGTGCATTAGATTAAGAGAAAAAACTAACCTTTTAAATAATTTTTATGATTATCAGGTGAGAACACAGATTCGGAAGTACTGACTTATACGAAATGAATTCACTTTAGGCACAAGAGAGAAGATTTTTAGCTCAGGTGGCTGATTATCATGCAGCTGTGTTGTCTGAGCTGAATGATTTGGTTGCGCAAATAAACCAATATGCGAACGCTGTTGCTGAAGAATAAAAGGCAACAAATTTGCCGTTTCAGTGTAAAACTCATTTAGGTGCATACCTGCATTTATTACTTATTATCTTATTCCTTTGCAGTCCCCTTGGAACATAAGGCTTTGAAGCGTCTGTTGCAGCGGTGGGGTGGCGTCGCTGGTCAAACATCCAACCTTCCCTCTTCGCACGGTTTAAAACCTTCTAGGCCAGACCTAGGAGTGCGTCGGCCGAGGAGCTAATCCCGGATCACATGCGTGGTTGGCGAACATTCTACCTCTGAGGGACCGACATAAGGTGCATACATAAACATGTAGGATTCGATTTCTTTATTAAAATATAATTTCGTGAGAATTAGCTTTTTAACGTAGTTCTGGCATTAAGCGTACCCCGTAATTCACGATTTTCTGCTGTGTTGAAATTTAAATATGGAAATCCGATGGCGGGTAATCACTTGATAGAATCGACGGGTTCATTTCCATAATCCATCAGCCTGATGAGTTATGCTTTGCTATCTGTGATGATGCAAGCTATTTTCGAACTACAGCGTCAGGACAATCAGCTGCGGTGACTTAGACACATTCAAACAGTAGGCTAAAGACTAAGGTAGAAATAGGATTTGGGTTTATCTGCATTTCACTAATATATCCTCTTATTATGGTCATTTCATGAAGCAGCAAGCTTTTATCAGTGTTGAATTCTTGTGAATAACGAGAGCGAACACTGGCTCCAGGATACATTCCCTTTTCAATGCTCGTAGCTTTCACAGATCAATAAACTTATTGAAGCTAGTCTTCTTTTTGATTTTCCGGCAAGAATTACTTGATACCAGACAAATGGTTTGTAGCACTGACCTACCTAATTTCTGATAAGTTCCCTAGAAAGCGGTATGAAACTCGTTACGCCTAATACGCCTAATACTGCTTAGCGAAAATTAGCGTTCGATAATGAAGTTTGCTGTTATAAAGTGATTTTGGGCATATGGTTTGCAAGGAAAACAGTATGCGATTTCTGAAATTTTACTACATGTCGGAAAGTCGTACAGCAAATCATCGACATTAAGCAAACTCCATATACAAACTGATAAATATATATATATCTATTCCTTTACGTTCCCAGTGGAACATAGGGCTTCAAGCCACAGACTTGAAGTTTCTATAGCAGTGTTTATTTTTACAGGATGTGGTTGCTAGCCTCATGCCCAACCTTTCCTCTTTATCAGCATTGTTACTGGCTTAACGAGGTAAAGGAGTGCGTCGGCTGGGAATCGAACCTCGGACCATGTGCATGGTTAGCGAGTATCCTAACCACTGTGCCACTGACGCACACCAACTGATAAATCTGTAAGGTAATTCACAAGCATTATCCAGTAACCTTTAATCACAGTAAGCGCTATGATCTATGTAAATGAATATTCAAAATACAAGTTAACGAATGAGATTACATCACTGAACATCTAATTTGACACGATTTTGTGTCTTCCACTTTTAAAACACTCGTGAAGTCATCAGGAAACTTGAAACTATTATCCTACAGATAATAATTCATTTCCGGTATTTATGTTTGCGTCTCTTATGTTTTTCTTATAATTGGGTGAAGCGCAGTGGGCAAATTCTTGAAAATGTTAAGAATTATGGACTTGCTTTCATTAACCACTTGACGTGTATATTACGGGTGTTTTCACTAAACTAGATAATTTAGTATCTTTTAGTGAAAATGGTTAAATGATAGATAACTTTATTCAAAGATTTGATAAAAAAATATTTTTCAAGTTCAGGCAACTAAGACAAAATGATTGTTACCCAGTTGGTATACTGAATACCATTCACATACCGTTTGACTTCAAGGTATTACTTTTTATTTTAGTCAGTCCTACAGTATACTGAGTAAGAAATAAATCTGGCAAACCATTAAATTTATTATGCATGTATTTATATTTATATATTAAAGTACAGTGACTGGTGCATGAAAAGTGGACAACAAACCGTTTAACTTAACGTTATAAGGGCAATATATACATACTTATATCGATTTTCTCAAGACCAGTAGTTCATTTGAAACTTAAAACCTACTGGGTTGTTGGCTATTGCTTAATAATATGAACTCTATGTGTGCATTTGACTACCCGCATATTTTTAAATCTTGAGATGATTTAAGTGTGATGAAATACATAATATCTTAATTTCTTATCACCGTAGGGGTTAAATACGTGTTAATGAACTGAAACTTACTTAATCTTTATTACCATAAACAAAAGTAGTTTCGTAGTAGTTAATTTAAACACTAAGCTATTATTAAGAATACTAGTAATTATAAACACTTTGTAAAGAGTGTTTTAAAGGCGTCAACTACAATTCCAACAGAGACAGATAGGAAATAAGTGACAGGTTGATTTTTTGCTTGCTAGAAATACGACTCATAATGCATACTTTAAAAAGACTTTATTTTACGCCATAAACTAACGGTGGGTTACTTCAAAGTTTCTGATACAAATGCTGCTTTGATTCGAACTTTCATCTTAACAAAAGTGGTCATCTATTTGTGTCGACTATAACTCGAAAATTTAACTCACTTCACATGTTCTTATGACGAACTATGTGTTTTTCTAAGACTCATCTTTCAGTTTTCCGTTTTCAGTGCAGCTGCTGGGTACCGTATATACCAGACCTAATTTTAAGCTATTCTTTCAAAAGTTATATTAGCTATTCTTCGGGAGTTTGAGAATTTGAGGGAACTCAAGATAGCTTCCTTTATAGGCTGACAGTCAGTTAAAAATCATTTCAGTGATAGAAAACACTGAACAGCTGTGCCGTTCTATGTTTGTACCACATCTATGATACGCACCAATGACCTTATCAAGGATAGAAATCGAGATTTTCGCGTTACCAGTGGAGCATGTTTAACATTCACTCATCAGATTGGCTTTCAATAATCAATGAATTATTTCATTACACTGGCAAGTATCAGATGACCACGTATTGCTGAAGAGTCCCAAAGTAGGAAACAGTTCCCAAGTGCTTTCTAGGTTTCGATGGTCTTCTAAATGTTATCGAACCGTGACAAAATCTATCTTGAAAATTATTTAAACAAATCCTCTACGTATCTAAACATTCCTTTGTTCTGATCAAATGTCTTCCAGAAGCATTCCATTATAACAAAAACCATAATTGAAATTGTTATCGAATTCGACAAACACACATTTCAATCATTGAAGTGACAAACTTTAAATGAGGCCTATTTATTTTCCGCCTACAAATGGGATTTTTCTATTGAAATATGCATAATAAGTACAGTACTCATGTTTGTGTAAATTTGGAAAAATCCTACATTTTCCAGAAATGTAAATGTAATCACCGTTTCATCAGGTAATTAGTTTTTTTGCAGTCAGGCGTTGTACAAATCTAATTTTTTTATTTTTTCTCTATGGATGCCTATATATTTTGATAAGATAAAATCCTTAATACTTTGTATCTAGATATAATACTACAGAAGAGGAATTTATTAAATATGTTTTAAAGTGTTTAACTGTCTTAGAATGAATTTATCACAAAATAAAAAGAGATTAAAATCCCAAAGTAAAGTAAAATTTCTTCGTCAGAAAGAACAGCGAAATCAGTGTTTAATTTTACTAAAAGGAAAGCAAAAGTTAACACCAAGCTTTAAAGACCAGAATACAAGTAATGAGAAAAACGTATTTCGGAAGATAATTACACTTCAAGTGCAAAGTAAACCATCTAGTACACCATCCTTGTACTTTGATATGTTTTGTAAATAATCCTCTGTGTTCATGTTAACTTTGAGCTACAATGGCAACATAAATCAATCTGCTGGAATAGGTATATTCTAACTCCTACTTATTTTTCGTCTTTTTCATTCTCTAGCAAATACTTACTCGTTATTTTTGCAAATGATTCATTTCGGGGTTCGATCTGACTTCAGAGTTATGTCCTTGTCTTGTTTGGGACTTTCTACCAACACTTGAACCCGACACTCATCATTTAAAACTCCAGTAGGTCACTCAACTACTTCTTTTGATGCTACTTGCGTTGTTAATATTATCAGCTTATGACTGTGAATTGTACTTACACCCAATAGTGGTTTTTTCGATATTTCTATCGTTCAGCCAATATAATAAATAGAAAGAGTGGGTGCGTACTATTAATTAACAAGATTGTTTTTTGTTACCTAGGTCAACGAAAAATACCAGCTCACAGCTGGCTTTTCCAGATAATTAAGCAGATTACTAATACATTAACCAGAGAGACACTGGTTTATTTATTGATAAAATAGAGTTTTCAGGTCACCCATAACATTGGATTCCTTCTGTCAGTCGAAAATTCCTCCAGATAATCTTACCTGGAATGTACTTGAAAACCATATTTAGCCATCTGTTTGAAATGAGATACGAATCAGACTAGAACCGTTTGCCAGGGACAGTACTGTGAATAACTACTTAAAAAGAATCGATTTTTTTTCCTTCTGTTGATTTTTGTCTATTATTCTGAAATACGAAATTGTAATATAAATATTGTTATTCACAGCTGGCCTGTGACCTGCGAATTTGTTATAACCACAAGCCTAAATGTGTGTGGAAGATAAAAATAAAAACATTCATTATATCAGTTATACACTGTTTTAGCTACCATATATACAAAAGAGGTTTCGTTCAAAATATTCTATCGATTTGTCTAAAATACTTTTGAACATCTGAAGTAAGCAGTAAAGTCTGAAGGGATTTTCTACTAAGGAATGAAATTAGTACAAAATAAGTAGGTGAAATGGGATCTAGAT